GATAACCAGAACCTTCCGCTGAAGATAAGAGCAGGTTAAGGCGAAGAAAAAGAACATTTCTTCATATATGGAGCTATGCTGACACAGTGGCTAGTGCACTTATCCGACAGTCCAACGGCCACAGTTTGAAACTGCAATTCCTGGTAATTGTGAACACTCGCATGGCTCTAATGTTCAGTCAGTCTTAATTCCGCAGTGGGGAAATGCCCTTGTAATGTAAAAAGGGCAGCAGAATAGACAAAGCATTTAGTCTGGGGAGAATTATTCAGCTGGGAGTAAGCACAGTCTCAACGATTTTGCTACTTGCAGTTGGGTTAAAAAAAATAATATTATTAAATTGTAATCAAGTTGCATTTTGCAACTTCATTATGGGAACACTTCACTAGTACTGAAGAAGGCGACGGAGCACGTAGGAATTGAATACTAAGTAATCACTTTTGTGTCCAAAAAACTCTTTGGTGAATTCCATATATATAATTATGCAAATTCAGAAATACGAAAATAGTGAAATGTTTATAAAAATTGTACAAAGTCAAGATTTTTTGCGTCACGATTTTTTGCGACAAGTTAGTTATGAAATGGAATATTTTTGACAGCTGGGTGACAACTGGCAGATGTTTTGGGAGAAAGTGCAGGAGCAAGTCAAAAAGATAGAGTGAATACCTTGGCTAAAGGGTACATGTGTGACAAGAGCCTTTACTTGATCGGGATTTTAGGGATCATTGACAATGGGAATCTTAGTGCTTATCGAGGGGGCACAGGATGATGATGAAGTCAGTTGAAACATATTTACTTTAAAATAAATTTCCAGACAGTGGCAAGTTTAACATTCGTGGCAAAAATGATGTCACTACTGACCAAGTGACAGGAATGTTATAAGTGGGCTCTATCCCGTACCTGAGTGGAGCAGTTGCTGGCAAGACAGCGGTCAACGGTGTCTGAATATCAACGTGAAGGACAAAAATAAAACTATTCACTTCGGCTCGTTGCTTTTTTTGCTCCTGCTTTATATCTTAAAAAAATATCTGTAGTATGCTTTTATGTTCTGGGAGATTATAGAGTTTTTGTTGTTCACTTGATCATCGTTGTCAGGTTATAGATAGTTTGTGTTGTCATAGGTAACGCTTGCAGCTTTATTAATGGAGGATTTCTTTCAGACTGTAGGCTGTTTCAGTCATCGCTCTGAGATAAATATATCATGGGTGACCCATGTTTTCCCGACTGTAGTTTACTTGACAACAGGCATCGCTTTGAAAAGGAGACGGACACCAATCAGGTCAGATTTATTTTCTTCCCCGCCCCGCGACGGACCTTGCAAGACAGCAGGGGTGTATTTGACTGCTACTACTCAAGAAACATTGAATGATTATATGATAGAATGAACAGGGCACTAGAACAGAAAATAACTACATGGGAAATGGGCTGTCTCAGCAAGGTCACTAACTACACTATACCAGACAGGGTTACGAATACCAGCATTAGAGAGAAAGCTGGAATAAGAGCATGTCTGGGTTATTTTGACAGACAAAGAACGAAATTGTTCGGCAATCTAGTGATAATGCAGCCAGAGCAGCCGGCATATGAAGACTTTTTACAGTAGAACGTCTGGGATGAAGGCGAGAGGAAGACCAAGAAAGAGGAATAAATGGTGTAGTTAAAATCTGCAAAAAGTTGAACAAATCCATCACTCAAGTCACCGGAGAAGCGCAAGAAAAATACAGAAAACCACGACACTGGGTTACAACCTGGGTGAGACGACAAAACCACGATACTGAGTTACAACCTGGTAACAGTGAGACGAAAAAACCACGACATTTTGGTTACAACCTGGTAACAGTGAGACGACAAAACCACGACACTGGGTTACAACCTGGTAACAGTGAGACGACAAAACCACGACATTTTGGTTACAACCTGGTAACAGTGAGACGACAAAACAACGACACTGGGTTACAACCTGGTAACAGTGAGATGTCAAAACCGCGACATTTTGGTTACAACCTGGTAACAGTGAGACGACAAAACAACGACACTGGGTTCCAACCTGGGAACAGTGAGACGACAAAACCACGACACTGGGTTACAACCTGGTAACAGTGACATGACAAAACCACGACACTGGGTTACAACCTGGTAACAGTGAGACGACAAAACCACGACACTGGGTTACAACCTGGTAACAGTGAGACGACAAAACCACGACACTGGGTTACAACCTGGTAACAGTGAGACGACAAAACCACGACACTGGGTTACAACCTGGTAACAGTGAGACGACAAAACCACGACACTGGGTTACAACCTGGTAACAGTGAGACGACAAAACCACGACACTGGGTTACAACCTGGTAACAGTGAGACGACAAAACCACGACACTGGGCTACAACCTGGTAACAGTGAGACGACAAAACCACGACACTGGGTTACAACCTGGTAACAGTGAGACGACAAAAGAAGAGGAGGAGAAGAAGAAGATCTCTTTGAAATACTTTTATCCTAAAATGACCAAATAAACGATTTCTTGTAGATTGTAGTTAACTGATATTATTACAGTCATTTTTTTAAGGTGAGTATATCATCAGTGACCCATGTTTTCTTAAGTATATTTTGTATATTTTAGATGATCCGTGTATTATGCTTCTAGACCATGGAAAGCCGATGTTGTTACAGCTATGACTGTGAAATTAGTATTTCATTGATGACCCATGTTTTCCTCATTGTAGATAGTTAGTTCACTTTGTCACAGACGTCTCGTTAAGATGAGTATATCATAGTTGACACCTGTTTTCCTCATTGCAGATAGTTACTTCACTTTGTCACAGGCGTCTCGATAAGATGAGTATATAATAATTGACACATGTTTTCTTTATTGTAGATAGCTAGTTCACTTTGTCACACGCGTCTCGATAAGATGAGTATATTGTTGGTGATCCGTGAATGATTGTTTTCAATCTGTGGATAGTCGACGCTTTAGGACATCCCTATTAGATGAGTTTTGGGAGACTCCAAATAGATTTATTGCACACTGTGGATAGTCGATGTTGGAACAATCACAGCTTTAAGATGTGCACTGCGCGTGTATCCTCTCGGTGATTGTTTCTGTAAGATATTGTTATAGTTTGGATAACCTAGATATGCTAAAACTCTGGACCGTTTAAATGTAAATCCCCAACGTTAGATGAATGAAGACATTTGTTGCTCATATCCCTGCAATACTATTGAACTATTTTCTGTTTCACTTGTGTATACGTCTCCTGTGTTGAGAGACACATCAGATGATGTCACAAAAGCATAAATAATGGATTCTAAAAATGCAATGTTATTTATACATGCTCCTAGTTTGGATCGTTGATGGCGAATCCACGGTGAATTAAAATAGCTTGAACTGAAATGTCACCAGGTTAACTAGTATAGAGAAAACAGTAAACGTATTTCTAGTTGCATCACAAGTGACTGACTACACTCTCGAGGAATTACAGAATAATGATACTCAGGTGATATTTCAAAGAAATAAATAGTCAATTTATATTGTATTTATTTGTGTACAATTCTGTTCAACTTCCTTAGGTTGAAGCTGAGATGTATTGTGTCCAAAATTATGTCAGGTAATAAATGCTTGTTCATATATCGATAGCCAATCACAATTCCCTAACAGTATGCAGGAATCAAGCAAACATAAAGTCAACATTAAAACACTTCTCTAGAGAATATCTGACTTGTCTTATAATAACTCCCTTTCAAATTACTGTTTTACAGTCCACATTTTATAAATGTTCTCCCGTACGGTGACATTTGATAAGCTTTCCATTGCATGTCAAACACTAAGTGATGCGTGCCTTGTCCACTTCACAGTACAACACACCAATGTGTGGAATACTTAACTTCACAGTACAACACACCAATGTGTGGAATACTTAACTTCACAGTACAACACACCAATGTGTGGAATACTTTACTTCACAGAACAACACACCAATGTGTGGAATACTTAACTTCACAATACAACACACCAATGTGCGGAATACTTAACTTCACAGTACAACACACCAATGTGTGGAATACTCAACTTCACAGTACAACACACCAATGTGTGGAATACTTTACTTCACAGTACAACACACTAATGTGTGGAATACTTTACTTCACAGTACAACACACCAATGTGTGGAATACTTAACTTCACAGTACAACACACTAATGTGTGAAATACTTAACTTCACAGTACAACACACTAATGTGTGGAATACTTAACTTCACAGTACAACACACCAATGTGTGGACTACTTAACTTCACAGTACAACACACTAATGTGTGGAATACTTTACTTCACAGTACAACACACTAATGTGTGAAATACTTAACTTCACAGTGCAACACACCAATGTGTGGAATACTTTATTTCACAGTGCAACACACCAGTGTGTGGAATACTTTACTTCGCAGTGCAACACACCAATGTGTGGAATACTTAACTTCACAGTACAACACACTAATGTGTGGAATACTTTACTTTACAGTACACCAATGTGTGGTCACAACAACACACCAATGAATACTTACTCACAGTACAACACACTAATGTGTGGAATACTTTTCACAGTTCACAGTACAACACACCAATGTGTGGAATACTTTACTTCACAGTACAACACACTAATGTGTGGAATACTTTTACTTCACAGTACAACACACCAATGTGTGGAATATACTTTACTTCTTAACTTCACAGTACAACACACTAATGTGTGGAATACTTAACTTCACAGTACAACACACTAATGTGTGGAATACTTTACAGTACAACACACAGTCACAACAACACACTAATGTGTGGAATACTTAACTTCACAGGAATACTTTACTTCACAGTGCAGTCAATGTGTGGACTTTACTGACATGCAGTCATGTGAACTGAATAAATGTAAAAGCTAAAGAATACTGAGATTGCTTTCTATAGAAGACCGTATATTTTGTCGACAAGCTCCAACAGCAACGTGCTTAAATGTTTTGTTGAGTTTCACAAGGAGTATCACAGATATTTGTTGTTTTGTCGGTGTTACAACTGTCGTCATCTGTGACTTCATCATCAGCCCCGCTAATATCGTCGTCTTCTCCTTCCTCGTCTTCGTCTTCATCTCTGTCTTCATCGAAATCATCATTATCAGCACTCAGTGGTGCAGCACTGTCGCGGTGAAGTGAAGACTGTGTCAGAGACGAGGAAGCACTCGTCAGCGATGGGTAGGTGTTGACACGCAGTGTGCTAGGGTCTTCCCCGTTGACAATCCTTGCCATGAATGAGATGTATGAAATAGCCAAGCGAAGGGTCTCTATTCTAGACAGTCGCTTTTCGTAAGCAAATGTAGGAATTCTCTGCCGCAGGCAATCGAACGCCTCGTTCAGGTTATACATCCTGCGGCGTTCTCGGATATTGGCTGCCCGTCGTTGTGCCACCGTTGGAGCTCGACGCTTCCTGTTTGAGGTCTTCTCAATTCGTTCACTAGCGTTGTATCGACGAAGATTCTGTCGCTGGGGATTGTATGGTTGCTCTGAACATCTCTGGTCGTAAGAAGACGCAGGATAATAATTATTGGCCCCGATCCAAACGAAGGTGTTATCGCTATAACTTTGCTGTTGGTTATGATACGCACACGTATACTGTGGCTGGTAGTACCCAGGTACGTCAGCGCCAGGTGAAATGTACGGGAAAGATGAACCGGTGTATCGATCACCTGACGGATTTTGGTGGTTCATGCAATCGTGAGAAGTATAGTCATCCTGTCCTAAAGAAGTATAGTCATCCTGTCTTAACAACGGTTCTGAATTCAAGTTTGGAGATGCCTCGCTTGACAGGTCCAGTACCGACGGCATAGAATATGTTTGTGAAGATAAGTACCATCTCATATCAGAACTTGAGTCACAAGTATTTGCCAGCACTGTCAGATACCGCCACTCCACTCCAAATGGCAACGGACGAAGTCTGATCTTTTATCGAAGACCGCTTTAGCTGGCTGGAAACTGTCGAAGCTGGCCGTCAAATCATTGACAGACGGTCGATATGAGTGTTCCGTTTATGCAAATGGGTTTAATCAAAATGGACTTGTCTCCAAGAAAATGAAGCCACGTCGATTTTCTTGAAAAGAACAGCAACTAATTAAATCCTCTGTTGTTTCAATTTTCCTCACTTTAGTCGAATATTAGAGACTTCTCCACTGACCCCAGTCGCTTCAGATGACGCAGTATAGAACGCACAACAAGTACGGGTTGAGCACTACCAAAATGCAGCACATTTTCCCAATCAGATTTTTGGCCACGGCGAAACAAAATATGAAACAATGAAAGTGACTGGTATGGTAAGGCTTGATGTGTGGAGCTGCGCGTATTTTGCCAGTTATATCTACAGAGTCCGAAGTTAAGTTCAAAAAGCTGTTACCATGGAAGGAGCAAAAATGATAGCAACAGCTTGGACAGGGTCACATTCGCCATATTTCACAACAAGCCAGCTTTAATTATACTACTTGTCAACATATTTGCTTATGTGGTTGTAATACTACCCCAAACAGCCACTATCTGTCATACAAAGGCTGTCACGCCTCCAGGAGCGTCCAACAAAGAGGTGAAGATCCATTCATCCATCTATCTATCTATCTATCTATCTATCTATCTATCTATCTATCTATCTATCTATCTATCTATCTATCTATCTATCTATCTATCTATCTATCTATCTATCTATCTATCTATCTATCTATCTATCTATCTATCTATCTATCTATCTATCTATCTATCTATCTATCTATCTATCTATCTATCTATCTATCTATCTATCTATCTATCTATCTATCTATCTATCTATCTATCTATCTATCTATCTATCTATCTATCTATCTATCTATCTATCTATCTATCTATCTATCTATCTATCTATCTATCTATCTATCTATCTATCTATCTATCTATCTATCTATCTATCTATCTATCTATCTATCTATCTATCTATCTATCTATCTATCTATCTATCTAATCTATCTATCTATCTATCTATCTATCTATCTATCTATCTATCTATCTATCTATCTATCTATCTATCTATCTATCTATCTATCTATCTATCTATCTATCTATCTATCTATCTATCTATCTATCTATCTATCTATCTATCTATCTGTCTATCTGTCTATCTGTCTATCTGTCTATCTGTCTATCTATCTATCTGTCTATCTATCTATCTATCTATCTATCTATCTATCTATCTATCTATCTATCTATCTATCTATCTATCTATCTATCTATCTATCTATCTATCTATCTATCTATCTATCTATCTATCTATCTATCTATCTATCTATCTATCTATCTATCTATCTATCTATCTATCTATCTATCTATCTATCTATCCATCCATCCATCCATCCATCCATCCATCCATCCATCCATCCATCCATCCATCCATCCATCCATCCATCCATCCGTCCGTCCGTCCGTCCGTCCGTCCGTCCGTCCGTCTGTCCGTCTGTCCGTCTGTCCGACCGTCTGTCTGTCTGTCTGTCTGTCTGTCTGTCTGTCTGTCTGTCTGTCTGTCTGTCTGTCTGTCTGTCTGTCTGTCTGTCTGTCTGTCTGTCTGTCTGTCTATCTATCTATCTACCCAACCATCCAACCATGCATCCATCCACCCGGTCCTCCGTCTGTCTGGTCGCGTGCCTATCTATCTCTCACACACAGACAGACTCATATCTCGTTATTCTTTTATCTAACCATATTCAAGTAGGTAAAGAAGCCTTTAAGTGTAGGATGAAAATCAGGGACCAGTATTACCTATGGCTTTTTTTTTAAAATAACATTTGGAAGTACACAACTTTATGCAATGCCGGCATCTTTTTATGCAGGTTTGCAAGAGTACCTTAATAGAAACTTCATCATTTGTACCGGCACCTTTTCAATGTTATATTGACTATCGAAAGGCATTTTGTGGTGAGTACTGGCACCTTCTATTTAAGGAAAAAGAATGTTTAGACACACATTTTAACGTGTGGTCAGCGCCCAGCGGGTAATTAACTCTTCATACACTTCAGAAAAGTCATACTCATTTCGGCTTAACTTGATCATAGACATATGTACATCGATAATTACTGATGTTTCTGTGGAGAACCATTCGATTTCGTTGCTGGTTTCTAAACTATAGTCACACATAGTATCATGTCTAACTGTCGAGGTAGTCATTCTTCTACACAGTGAGAGAATAAATGTGCAACTGAAAAGATTCGTAGAAAGAAAGTTGGAGAAAAACGATACAAAATATTCTCGACAGCCGTTTGTGACAGCATTGACAGTTATCAGGAAACGAACTTTCACATCCGGCTATGGATTACAAGTTCTCAAAAAAACTTGATAACCCACACAGTCAGTGACACGTGTGATGAAGATAAAGATGATTTAATATAGCCAGCCTATGTAGGAGACACGTTCCACTCAGCTAGGTACAATGTAACATTTAAAGAAGTTCACTTCCTGCAAAGAAAAGCAGTATAACATATACTACATGGTCATCGTGGCCAATATCAAGTGATATCTCTATATAAACAGTCACCTGTAATCTCTTGATCGTAACTGTCTTGTTGTTCCTGCTCATTTCATTCTTCTTCATCCAGTTCTTCTTCTTGTTGTTCTTTTTTTTTCTCCTCCTCCTCTTCTTCAAGCTATTTTGTTTCTTTCAATGGATCAGGGAAATTTAACCAGCTAACACTAAGTCTTTCATTCCTTTCCTGTCTCCTGCTCCTCCTTCAATACCCCATCCCCAGTATTTTTTCATCTCTGACTCCAATTCTCTTATCTGCTCTTTACTGAGGTTTTATTTCTTTTCGCCTTATGTTTTCCAACGTGACGACTTTCTGGCTGTATTGTTCACTGATTTTTCTCAGTTTTGTCGTTTTCCAGCGGGACAATCTTCTTCTCGCTGATTCATCATCATCACATGCCCTGTCGACGGGTATAGGCGTGCATACATCTCCACAGATCTGGGTCCCTTGTTTTCAAGATCAGTTCCACCGATGACATCCCTCCAAACCACCGTCGCAGTTCACCTCACTGACTAGTTGAGACAAGTTGCTGTTCTATCATACCATCAGGTAATTCTCTGTCATTTGATCATAGCTGTTCCTGGTCAATGGGACCCAAACAACAATAATGATGAGATGTGAAATAATTTTAGTTTCGTTCTTAACTCACGGTTTTTTTTTTTGGGGGGGGGGGGGGGGGGGGTATGGGGTGGGGGTATGGGGTGGGGGTATGGGGTGGGGGATAGGGGGTGGTAAATTCTCCTATAACTTTGAAAATTTTATAGGACACTTTCTCTTCATAGATAATTTGTTTCTTACGAGACAGCGACTGGGGCGTTCATTAATACATTAGAGATGAATGGACAACGTGTGCTATCTTACTTGACAGGGGCTGACGCGATCATTAATACATTAGAGATGAATGGACAACGTGTGCTATCTTACTTGACAGGGACTGACGCGATCATTAATACATTAGAGATGAATGGACAGCGTGTGCTATCTTACTTGACAGGGACTGACGCGATCATTAATACATTAGAGATGAATGGACATCGTGTGCTATCTTACTTGACAGGGACTGACGCGATCATTAATACATTAGAGATGAATGGACAGCGTGTGCTATCTTACTTGACAGGGACTGACGCGATCATTAATACATTAGAGATGAATGGACAGCGTGTGCTATCTTACTTGACAGGGACTGACGCGATCATTAATACATTAGAGATGAATGGACATCGTGTGCTCTCTTACTTGACATAGACTGACGCGATCATTAATACATTAGAGATGAATGGACATCGTGTGCTATCTTACTTGACAGGGACTGACGCGTTCATTAAAACATTAGAGATGAATGGACAACGTGTGCTCTCTTACTTGACAGGGCCTGACGCGATCATTAATACATTAGAGATGAATGGACTTCGTGTGCTCTCTTACTTGACAGGGACTGGCGCGTTCATTAATACATTAGGGATGAATGGACATCATGTGCTTTCTTACTTGACAGGGCCTGACGAGTTCATTAAAACATTAGAGATGAATGGACAACGTGTGCTCTCTTACTTGACAGGGCCTGGCGAGTTCAGTAATACATTAGAGATGGATGGACAACGTGTGCTCTCTTACTTGACATGGACTGACGCGATCATTAATGCATTAGAGATGATTGGACAACGTGTGCTCTCTTACTTGACAGCGACTGACGCGATCATTAATACATTAGAGATGAATGGACAGCGTGTGCTATCTTACTTGACAGGGACTGACGCGATCATTAATACATTAGAGATGAATGGACAGCGAGTGCTATCTTACTTGACAGCGACTGACGCGATCATTAATACATTAGAGATGAATGGACAGCGTGTGCTATCTTACTTGACAGGGACTGACGCGATCATTAATACATTAGAGATGAATGGACATCGTGTGCTCTCTTACTTGACATAGACTGACGCGATCATTAATACATTAGAGATGAATGGACATCGTGTGCTATCTTACTTGACAGGGACTGACGCGTTCATTAAAACATTAGAGATGAATGGACAACGTGTGCTCTCTTACTTGACAGGGCCTGACGCGATCATTAATACATTAGAGATGAATGGACTTCGTGTGCTCTCTTACTTGACAGGGACTGGCGCGTTCATTAATACATTAGGGATGAATGGACATCATGTGCTTTCTTACTTGACAGGGCCTGACGAGTTCATTAAAACATTAGAGATGAATGGACAACGTGTGCTCTCTTACTTGACAGGGCCTGGCGAGTTCAGTAATACATTAGAGATGGATGGACAACGTGTGCTCTCTTACTTGACATGGACTGACGCG